TTGCACCCAAGCATACCTGTTTCTTGTAGCAGGTCTAGAATATATTTCTTCTGAGATAAGGAAATTCCCGCCTTGCTACGAGCAACTTCCATTCCAAGGAAATATTTGAGAGATCCCAGATCCTTTAGTTCAAACTGACTAGCTAAACCCCCTTTTAAAGATTTTATTTCTTCCCAGTCATCACCTGTGACAATTATGTCGTCAACATAAACAATGAGGATAGCAATTTTGCCACTATCGGAGTGTTTAAAAAATAAAGTGTGATCAGTCTGAGCTTGGATAAATCCTCTTTCTTTAACAACACGAGTAAACTTTTCAAACCACTCTCTAGGGGATTGTTTAAGTCCATAAAGAGATTTCTTCAACATGCATACAGAACCATCTCCCTGTTCAAAACCAGGTGGTGGATCCATGTAAACTTCCTCATGTAAGTCCCCATTTAAGAAAGCGTTCTTTACGTCCAATTGATGCAAGGGCCAATCAAGGTTGGCAGCAAGTGATAGTAAGACTCGGATAGAGTTAAGTTTGGCAACGGGAGCGAACGTCTCCTGATAGTCTATCCCATAAGTCTGAGTAAATCCTTTGGCAACCAATCTGGCCTTATATTTGTTGATGCTGTTATCTGCATTAAATTTTATTGTGAACACCCATTTGCAACCTACAGTTTTCTTTCCTCTGGGAAGTGCCACGGACTCCCAAGTTCCATTTTTTTTAAGAGCATCCATTTCTTCAAAGACTGCATCCCTCCATTTAGGGTCATTAAGTGCCTCTTGGATATTTTTTGGTATTTTTGTACCGTCTAATATAGTGTTGAAAGCACGAAAACCTGGAGATAACTTTTCATATGAAATGTGATGAGAAATAGGATGAGCAGTGCAAGATCTAGTACCTTTTCGAAGGGCAATGGGCACATCTAGATCAGCTGTACCAGTGTTCTCAAGTGGATTGCTGGAACTAGGACTCGGGTCAGAATCCTGGCAGTCTAGAGGATCTTGAGGAGATTTTCGCCTGCTGTAGAATTTTCCCCATTTACCGGGAGGATCTCCAGTCTCTGGTACAATTGCTGTCCTTGTCTCCTGTACATTAACTCCCCCTGACTCCAAAGGTAAAGAAACAACAGATGTTTCCAAGGGTAAAGGTAAGATAGTAGAATTATTTGGATTCCAAGACTTGTCTTCATTTATACCAATAGACTCCCCCTGAAGAGAAGTCGAGGAAAAAATGATTGTGTTTCACAAAAAGTAACATCCATAGAAACAAAGACCTTTCGAAGAGAAGGTGAGTAGCACTTGTAACCTTTTTGATTAGGAGGATATCCTATGAAGACACATTTAACAGACTTATGATCAAGTTTGGACCTTTGATGTGGAGGAATATGAACAAAAACCACGCAGCCAAACAACTTTGGAGGAAGGGAAGAGAGAGCCCGAAAGGAGGGAAAAGAGCGGGTAAGGCAAGATATGGGAGAATGAAAATTCAGGACGCGAGAGGGCATCCGACTGATGAGATATGAGGCAGTCAAGACAGCCTCCCCCCACAGGTATTTAGGGACATGCATTGTAGACAAGAGGGCTCTAGCAACTTCAATGAGATGTCTATTTTTCCTTTCAGCCACCCCATTTTGTTGAGGGGTGTTAGAACAAGAACTTTGATGGATAATACCTTGCTTGGTTAGGTAATCACCAAGAACAGAATTAAAATATTCAGTACCGTTGTCAGTTCGCAGGATTTGGATAGAGGTCTGGAATTGAGTTTGTACCATAGCATGAAAATTTTTAAAAGTGGCTGCAGCTTCAGACTTATCTTTTAGAAGATATACCCAGCATACTCTAGAATGATCATCAATAAAGGTAATAAACCAACGAGTTCCAGATATATTTTTTTCACGAGCTGGGCCCCAAATATCACTATGAATCAATGTAAATGGAGACGAAACATGATAATCTCTAGGGAAATAAGAAACACGAGAGTGTTTTGCAAACTGACAATCATCACAAAAAAAGGAACTTGGTTTTTTGTTGATAAATAAGTTTGGAAGCAGCTTTTGAAGATAAAAGAAATTTGGGTGTCCTAAACGACGATGCCACAATAAAACATCATTACAATCGTCTGATAAACATAAAGAGTGATTTGCAAAAAATCTCTTTTCATGAGAATCTTCTTCAAAATAGTAAAGCCCTTCTTCCTCTCTAGCACTGCCAATCATCAGCCCCGAATCCTGTTCTTGAAAAACACAGGTTTTGGCAGAGAATTTAGCAACACAATGCAATTCAGAGGAAAGTTTACTAATAGAGATAAGGTTACAAGTAAGAGAAGGGACATGAAGGACAGAATTCAGAGTAATATGTTCAGAGAGCTTAATGGATCCCTTTCCCGCAATATTAGAGAAACTACCATCAGCCGTCCTTATTCGTGACCGGTGATAATAAGGGGTATAAGAACAAAACAGGGATGCATTACCTGTCATATGATCAGAAGCTCCCGAATCAAGAATCCAACGACTACTATGATCAACATGGAATGCCATACCTTGTTGAGCAACATGACTAGTTGCCTCAGCAGATTGAGACATCACCTCCTGAAATTGCTCATAATTCTTACCGTTTAAACGGTGGTTAGTAATCTGTATAGCTGGGTTGTCTCCGGAAGACGAAGAACAGGGAAGAGGAAAGACACCGGAAACATTACCGGATGATTTTTCAGAATGCTTATTCTCAGTCTCAATATTTTCAACTTCCATTGTTCAAAATAAAAAAAAAATAAAAAAAACAAAAAAGGAACTCCAATCGTTCAGAACTGAAAAATCACGAAGAGGAACCAACTGGACCCAACAAGAAGAGTGCTCCAATCGTGATTTAAACCCCCAGAACAGGAAGAGGAAGGCCAGGCGAGCCGTTCTGTGAAAGCCGCGTGACAAACGGAGGCCAGCAGGGCGGCGCGTGGCTCACACGCGCCGGAGAGGCAGTTCTGCAGTGGCGGCGCGTGGCTGACTTTCCGGCGACGGGGCTGACGTGGGTCGACTCGGAAATGGCTTCTGAGTCCAATGGTGGCCTTGGTTTCGTGATTGGAGGGGTCCAGATATGGTTTTTGAGTTATTTTAATAAACAGTGAAAAATGGAAAACGGAAGGAAACGTGAAGGTTTACAAGATGACCACAGGATAACCTGCTCTTGATACCATGATGAAATATAAGACTGAAATGTATTTTTTCATATATTGATTGACACCCAAAGGGATCTTTATATACAGATTACAAGGTAGTTAAGGAGTTGAAGTAATAAATAAAATACACAGTAACCGAAGAGGCATCACACTACTCAAAGGAACAAAAAGCTAGAAACAAGTAGAAAACTCTAGAATATTCTACAAAAACGTAGTGTCAACTCGTAGAAACGGACGAGTTTACGTTTTTTTGGCAAAAAACGTGTCGAAACGGTAGTAGAAACGTAAAATGAGCTGACTCGGTTGAAACGACGAGTCAACTCGGTAAACTCGGTTGACTCGGCGATTTTACCAAGTCGACTCAGTACTAAAACCAAAAAAAAAAAAGAAAAAAAAAAGGAAGAACTAGCTCGTCTCCATCTCTGTGGTTATGTACAATAGCTCACCCATGTCTGACACCCACGACGACCACAACCTCGAGCCGCCACCGGAGTTTCTGCTCAGTCGTCCACAGCTGCTGAGGCATGGCTCCGTCGGAGAGGGAACCAGAAGCACAGTCACAGCAAGAGCAAGAGGACTTTGCAAAAGGAACCAGAAGCACAGTCACAGATCTATCCCACCTAACTCTTATTTTATTATTTGTTTTGCTCCTTTGTTAAACTATCTTCGTACGATCCAACCTTTTCTCTATATACATACTATTTTCTTTATTTTATTATTATTTCTTGGTTATCATGATGGCACCTTTTGATTCAAATTAGATGTTATATATTTCAACCACTTTATATTTTATTATTTGGTTCGCTGCTTAGTTTCATTTCAACATACATTATTTATATTAAGTAATTATATATATTGTGATTTATTTCTATTCAACTGTGATTTATATTTTATATTCCACCTTTTTATTATATATTTGATTATATATTCTAATCATTATTCATGGCTCCTTCATAATGATTTTGATAACTATAAATATATATTAAATATATATGGCACGTAGTAAACTCTTCCGTTTCGTTTACGATTCACGATTTTACGTTTTTGCTAACCCCTACCGTTTCTACGTAGACTCTACGTTTTAACAACATTGGTCAGCACACATCCCAAGGCATTTGAAGGAAGGAGATATGTTCCTTCTTCTGCCCAATGCCTCTTGCAATTGGGTAAAATATGAAACAAATGGGCAGTTCATCACAAGGGAAACGTTTTCAGACATTAAATGCCAGTAGCCCAAGGTCCCTTTCATGACTTGATTTACAGCAAATGTCCATACTAAATGGTTCTGTTTATATTCTTGAATTCCTGACTGTAAGACTTTCGCATAATTTTATCATTCTTCTCTGCCACTGCCGCAGAAATTTTAAAAACATAAATAGAATGGACTAATAAACAATCATCAACAAGAGTGCAAAAGTCCATAGCAAAAACAAGCCACCTTCTGACTCCCAAGTCGTTTTGACATTTTTTACAAAACAGGACCCCATAAAGTAGTGGTTTGAGAACTGCTGCCAAAAAAGGTAACTCAAGATTCGCCAATGTAAAGACAGAAACTGATTCTCTTCATTTCAATCATGTTATATACTGTACAACACACTAAAAGTCTCTGACCAAGTGAAGGTGGTGTAAAATATGGCAAACCCCAATGCATAAAGGCTACCTGACTTTGTGAGGGTAAGGGTGAGAATCGATTTACGCATTCATACCCTTGCATTTCACAAAAAAACCATTTCCTAAACTCAAACACATGATCTTTCAGTCACAAAGAAGTAACTTACCATTAAAATAAAAGTGGGGGGAAAAAAAATCATGCCAGACAACAAAGGTTTTTTCATTACCTAGTTCGGTGAAACCAGGCTCTATTTTTGCTTGATCCAGTAGTGTTTCCACAACTTCTTTCTGGCTCATATATAGTTGTAGGCATCGTTCTATGAGATTTTGCACCTATAATGAGGCAAGTAAAGCAAAAAAAAAATGAAGGTTAGCAATCTATGATAGACGTAAGATGAACTAAACCGTATAAAGAAATAGTGAGAGGTTTGGGAGAGAGGGCCAACAGAACAACACAACAGTGATGATTTCAATTTAAAATGATATAATCAGGAATCAAAGTACATAGTATTCCTCAGGAAAATTTAACACCAAATATTAATTCGCAACTAGACATTAAAAAAAAAAAAAAACGCATTCAATAAAAATCCCAAATTACTTACAACACCAAATATTCAAGCTAATAACTATAATCACAAAACAAACTTGCTACAGTCAACATGTTATGTATGCAAATATCATCTCATCCTTAGAATCCACAAAAGAAGAGAGAGAGAGAGAGAGAGAGAGAGAGAGAGAGAGAGAGAGAGAGAGTTCCTAGCTTACCAGCTGAATATCTTGGCGGGAAACCCGTCTGACTGATCCACTTGACATATTGGAAGTTACCAAATACGGTTAACAGTTAACTGGAGACATAATGATTTGCCATCAGAACCCAAACTCTTGAAAACAAATGCAAAACAGCAAACAGGGGATACATAAGATAATCAAACCAACCAAACAAAAAATTAAAAACGAAAAAAACAAAAATTGAAGGTTTAGGTGCACAGTTGAGATCAATCAAACCAAACAAAGACAGATGATAATCAAATTTTGGGATCACGAACCCTATGATCAGAATCCCGAAAAGCGAGAAAACATCAAAATCAACGAAACCATGGATGCGAGTTGAAGTAAAATTGGAGGGAAAAGTAGTTGGAGAGAGAGAGAGAGAGAGAGAGAGAGAAGGTGAATCGTACGATAGGGATAGGGAAAGAGAGAGAGAGTTAGGGATTCGAGGTTGACCTGAATTGGAGAAGAAAAGTGACTGAGGAGGAAGAAACGACAAAGGAGGAGCTGAGCTGTGCTGTGCGATACATATTAAGGTTTTCATTTACACTTTTTTTCTTTATTTTTTCAAGGAAGGTTACAATCTATCTTTATTTATAATTATATTTTAATTATTAATTTCTGTTAATTAATAATTATTATTTATTATAAATTAATAATTAATTAATAAATTTAATTTATAAAAATAATAATCATTTAATTGACTGAAATCAATAATTAAAATATAATTATAAGATATTTATAAACGAAAATAAATTTATAAATAAATCTTATTTTATTTTAATAAACCATAATGTATCTAGTAACTAATTAGACCGATTATTACGGATTTGACTCAGATAAGACTACAAAATCGGTAATCTATCCATTAATTTGGATTCGAGTGGAATCGGATATCAAGAAGATAAAAAAACTCTTTTTAATAAATTTAACACAGTAGACCAAAAAATAAATAAATTTTAAGACAACTGCGTAATTATACTCGAAAACGGAATCATTCATTAAATACGAACAAGAACAACTCCTAATTTATAAATCACAATATTTATAATTATTTTTATATTTTAACATATAAAATTGTGTAATTTTAAGTAAAAAAAAAATAGATAATAAAAGAAGAGTGAGTGAAATTTTTTTTAAAGATATAAGTCTCAATTCTTTTTTATGAGAATAAAAAAATATAATATATGTCATTTAAAATACATAATTTTTTCCCTTTAAGTATTCAAACATTTATAAATAAAAAGAATTTATATTCGAGTAAAATTAAGTATTTATTTTTAGATAATGTTATATTTATAATTTGTTTTTATTTATAATTCATATCTTAATCGTTGATGTAAATCAACCGTTAAGATTTTTATAAAAAATTTATTAATTAATTATTAATTAATTAGCAAAAATTATCCATTAACATATAATTGTAACACGTTCTAAACGAAAATAATTGCGTAGTTGTGAACATCTCCTTGTTGGAGCAAACCTCATCCATGGCTTCTCTTCGTCTTCTTGCGAGCGGTGTCTCAACTTTCCCTCATCAACCCACTTCTTCCGAGTCCAAGTTCCGAAATCTCCACAATCCAAAGCTTCCAACTTTGAAACCCAAAAAAAAGCAGAGCTCAAGGGTCCTTAACCTTGGTGCTGATGTGGGTTTCACTTCTCCTTCTCCTCCCACAAGCTCCGATGAAAAAATCCGTGAGATTCTTCGCAATCGTGACTACGACAAGAAATTCGGTTTCACCCTCGACATCGATTCCTTTTCCATCCCCAAAGGTCTCTCCAAAGAGACCATAAAGTTGATATCTTCCTTGAAAGAGGAACCCATTTGGATGCTTGAGTTCAGGTTGAGTGCTTTTGAAAAATTCTTGAACATGGAGGAACCCAATTGGTCAGACAACTCATACCCATCAATTAATTTTCAAGATATGTGCTATTACTCTGCACCAAAGAAGAAACCCACCTAAATTCCCTTGAAGATGCTGACCCTGAACTCCTTATGTACTTTGATAAACTGGGTGTCCCTCTGAATGAGAGGAACCGTTTGGCTAATGTTGCAGTGGATGCTGTTCTTGACAGTGTTTCCATTGCTACAACTCATAGGAAGGTTTTGGAGAAAGCTGGTGTTATCTTTTGTTCAATATCTGAGGCTATTAGGGAGTACCCTCATTTGGTTAGAAAGTACTTGGGGAGAGTTGTGCCTAGTGGGGATAACTATTATGCAGCTTTGAATTCAGCTGTGTTTAGTGATGGATCCTTTTGTTACATTCCTAAGGATACTAAGTGCCCTATGCAGATTTCAACTTACTTTAGGATCAATGCTTTGGAGACTGGGCAGTTTGAGAGGACTTTGATAGTTGCAGATGATAGGAGTTTTGTGGAGTATTTGGAGGGATGTACTGCACCTTCTTATGATAGGAACCAGCTTCATGCTGCTGTTGTGGAGTTGTATTGTGGTGAAGGTGCAGAAATTAAGTACTCCACTGTGCAGAATTGGTATGCTGGGGATGAGGATGGGAAGGGAGGGATATACAATTTTGTAACAAAGAGAGGACTTTGTGCTGGGGCACACTCTAAGATATCATGGACATAAGTGGAGACAGGATCAGCTATTACTTGGAAATATCCCAGTGTTGTTTTGGAGGGAGATGATACTGTTGGGGAGTTTTATTCGGTTGCTTTGACTAATAACTATCAACAAGCGGATACAGGTACAAAGATGATTCACAAGGGGAAGAACTCTAAGAGTAGGATTATCTCCAAGGGCATATCAGTTGGACACTCAAGGAACTGTTATAGGGGGCTTGTTCAGGTTCAATCAAAGGCAGAGAATGCTAGAAACTCCTCTCAGTGTGACTCAATGCTTATTGGTGATAAAGCAGCTGCCAATACATATCCTTACATCCAGGTAAGTTCTTTCTTTTTTATTTTTTTGATAAATTTTTCCTCTGCTAATAATTTGAGATTTCTGTTTATGCTTGTTTCAGTATGTGGGAGTTTTAATAATTTTTGGTATATAGGCTGTTAAATAAGTTTGAGCCTTGATAACAACCTGGTACCTAGGAGCATAAAATAGAGGGAGAGAACAAAGAAGTGAAGAGTGAGAGAAAGATTTTAACAGGAATTTTGTAGTCCACGGATTTCAAAGAAACCGAGAACACTTAACCAGGGAAAACTAGTGAAAGAAAAGTTATCCATTGATTAATTCTGGAGAAAATAGTGAGAGCAGAGAAGGTTTATGATGGGGAGATTTTCTATTCATTCATGTGTTATCCCTTGTATATAAAGGTGTGATTCAGAAAGAGAAAGGTGCAAATGAAATTCTTTTACATATCACATGCTAGAAACTTCATCTTGTATATAGGGTGTGATTCAAAAGACAAAGGTGCAAATGAAATTCTTTTACATCTCCCATGCTACTAGCCACGTCAAAGAAGCTGGAAACTTCCACCAAGTAAATAATCAAAGGAATTAAAAACCAATGAACAAACAATTTCCGTAACAAAGATACTGAAAACAGTTTCTTAAAAAAATAAACAAAAATTCTTGGTAAAGAAAGATTTTGAAATTTATTTGTTCAATTTAAGTTAGCGTTAGGTAAGATTCCATACAACAAGGCTTTTATAGAAAAATAATAGTAAATGCTTTGGATGAAAGAATGCAGAGTCATCAGATTTTGGTAAATTGTCCATGAATTTGAAGTGAAACCATTGTAATTGAATTAGACCCTGGATACGATAAAAACATGATTAGATTAAATTCAACATAATACATACGTTTATGCCCTGTATAAGTGTGTACTTTTTCATGCTGAGAAATCTGTGTAAATATTTTAACAGCAATGGGGAAGCCTAATATATATCAAGGAAGTAAGAACTATAAGTTTCTTGGATGTTCAATGTTCTATTACAAAATATTAGTATTTCTTATACAGCTGAATCGTTCTGTCTCTTTCAAGAGGATCTCCTGGTTCTGATCTTCCCATTTTCCAGTTGCCTTTGGCTAATAAGAGCTTCTTCAAAAGTAGCTTTAGTCTTAAGGTAGCTGCAATGTGTTAGGTCTCCTGTTGCTGGTTGAAACTTGAAAGAGTTCATCAGTAATGGGGCAAAGAGTTGGTTCTCTCTTATTTCAAAAGTACTATTTTGTTCAGTTGACTTCCCTGACTTAGCCCCCCCCCCCCCCCCCCCCCCCCCCCCTCCCCTCTTCTTTTCTCCTCCTTTCCCCCATTTTATATATTTTTCCTGAAAACCAAAAACCAGAACTTGCAATGATATTTTTATTTTGCTCATTAGATCATAATTTTTTCAGGTGAAGAATCCTACAGCAAGAATTGAACACGAAGCTAGTACATCCAAAATTGGTGAAGATCAATTGTTTTACTTTCAACAAAGGGGAATAAACTATGAAAAAGCCATGGCTGCTATGATCTCTGGGTTTTGCCGTGATGTCTTCAATGAGCTTCCAGATGAATTTGGCTCTGAGGTGAACCAACTAATGAGCTTGAAGTTAGAGGGGTCTGTAGGTTAAACAGCTTGTGACGCATCAATTTGTAAGTTATTGTGTTGTAACATGTTCGATTGAATGGTTTCTGCAATTGTAGTCTTAAAAAAAGATTTCAAACTGTGTTAGGAAGGACATATACATGATGTATCTTTAAGATGGTTGGATATTGGAGGGTATGAGAAGGCCATGAAAGAAACTGCAAAGGAAATGGACAAAACTTTAAGTGAATGGTTAGAGGAACACCGACAGAAGAGGGTTTTGGGTGAAAAGATTGTAGGTGATCGAGACTTCATGGATGTGATGCTGATACCATTTTCAAGGCCTCAACTTTGGTGTATATATAGTAGTGTATAGTGAAATTATTTTTGTAGTCCCTTACAACAATAGATTTTTCTTCTTTCTTCTCCATTTTTTTGAACTTCTATTTGTTTTTCTAGAGAGATTATCCATGTAAATTGTGGTCTTTTTAGAGGAAATGTAATAATCCCTAAGAAAGAGGAGTGTTCATGACTTAACTAGATAGTAAAATTAGATGTGGTGTATTTGTGGGTTATGATTTAGTCGCACCTAAGTTGGGGCTTAACTCAACTTGAGTTTATATACTATTTTCTAAAACATATATTTTTTAAAAAAATAGGAAAAATTATTAATTAGATTATTAAATTAAACTAATTCTCTGTATGTCACACGAATCACGATTACAATTTTATATTGATATGGATTGTTTGAAATATGTATTGTGAAAGTTTTTATCACAGTAAACTCATCTCTGATTAGAATCATTAGGTGGCTAAAAGGGATACTACATGAACTATAAGTAATAAGTTGGAAGTTGATGAGTTTTGAAAACAGTTGTGAAAAACAAAATTGTGACCAAATGAGGAAGTTTCTATTATACCAAAGATTGGATCCAAGATTTCTTTTTCTTTTTTATGAGATAATATTGCAGCATTCTTCTCATAAGGAAATTGAACTTATTTGCAGGAATTTATTGTGGGAGGAACTGACACAACCGCAGTTACCCTTACATGGG